CACCGGGCACTTAAACTTAACTACTGTATTTAAGTACAGCACTTAGAACAAACAGTGTATTTACATAGCCAGAGATTTCAGGAGCTGCCATCCCCATAGGGTTTAGTTTGCCATCAGAATTGCTGCTACTGTCAATCAGGTCCACCCAAGGGCTGATGGAATAGCAAGCAACAAAGTCAATGAAAGACAAGAAGGAAAGAGAAAAAGAGAAGGGAAGAGAAAAAGAGGGGAGATATGTCTGGAAGTCTCCAGTACCACAGAATCACAATGATGTTTCCAACATTTATTTTCATCCTCAGACTATTTGGAGTTTACTACACCCAGAGGGTATATATCTTACCAGTTGGTACTATTACTAGTGTTTTTCTATAAAGTGTAAGTTGATTGTCATTAACAATAAGGTCTGAGTTTTCAATTTAATGCAACAGATGTGTGTAAATATGTTGACTCACTTATTAGCTAATTTGTTATGTGCTTATGTCTTCTCTACCCAGCTAGAATATAAGTATCTTTACATCAGAAATCATGCCTTAGTTTGCCTAACATCCACTCAGCATTTATAGTATTACTCAATAATGTTTGAAGGCTTGATTGTATTTCTAATCACTCATTCATATTAACTTTGATGGTTTGTCTCCTTCCACAATAAAAAAATACATTTCGACAAAGAAGGTAAGTAGAATAAGATAAGCTCATTGAGAACAATAATAGGCATATGCATTTCATGTAGCCTTATATGACGAATAAATTAGATCTTGGATCAACTCCGAGCTTTCTAATGGCCAACCAAAACAAAATGTAATCAGTTGAAAAATTCACATTAACTCTGAGATTAAAAACACTAATTTATAATATATATATCAAAAGTATACACAATGATTAATTTGCTTAGTCTTATATATTTATTTCACAATTGCTCATATTACCTGAATGATTATTGGTTACTAAAAATAAGACCTAATTAAATATTTTTTTCTTCATATTAGATTATAGGAAGAAAAAGTAAATTGAACATTTACATGCATTAATTTAAATGTACGTAACCAATTTATTTCTGGTTGCATTTGGTTATGAAAGTTCAGTGTCAACTTTTATCTTCCTCAATAAACTTAATATTCACTAAACTTATGGAAAAAACTGAACTTCTTAAATAAAATTTTTCTAAAATGAACATGAAAGTTTTAACTTTTACATAAACAGAATAGCATTCCCTTCCCTCCCAGCCAGGCATCTACTCCCCACCCCTGGCAAAAAGGAAAAAAAATTAAGAAAACAGTGGGTAGTTTGCATTACTTAGTATGAAGAAAAGTGAATGGAATTAAAGTCACCATTCAAATGTAACAAAGCAAAGACACTATGATACTCTCTTAATTTGCCTATGCTATGTGAAGTTAGTGCTTGAATTACTCAAATGTATATTATGCGCTACATAGCTTGGACTTTTAAAGGTCAAAGAAGTTTCCTGGATGAATTTTATTTAGTGAAACCCACCCTTCTTTTCCTGTGTTAAGTCCTCTTTCCAGGTTTAATAAAAATTATTCTCATATTCTCATTCTCTCTCTCTCTCTCTCTCTCTCTCTCTCTCTCTCTCTCTCTCTCTCTCTCTCTCTCTCTCTCTCTCTCCCCCCCCCCCATTAATTCCTACATATTTTCAATAGCAAATCCCCTAACAGAACATGCTGAAAATATTTACACATAAATGTATGGCATGAGGGAAAAAAGATTCAGAGCCAATAGAGTATTAATTTAAAAGGCAATTAATTTTGAAAAAGAAAAGGGGATGAATATAAACTGAGCAAGAGCCTGACTGATAGTAGAAAGTACAAGTAATTCTCTATTTGGGGGTCCTGAGAAATTTCAGCACGTGGTTCTGGAGTAATGAATGTTTGTAATTCATTAGCTACTATTTTAAAATGCAAAGCACACCATGACATCAATGATGTTCTTTTTCATCTCAACAAATAGGCTATTACAATTAAAGCACTTGCAAAAAGACACTGTATTTCAATATTGACTTTGATGAGATTTCAATGTTTAATAACAATAATTTAATAAAATTTTATACTTCCATAGAAAGAAGAAAATGTGTTATGAGGTTGGTTCAAAATACACGTCGTTGTATACAGCAACCTTTTATGATTATTGAGTAATAGCATTTCTATCCTGAAATTTTCTTTTCCTCTGAATTCTTTAGTAAGCTTTTAGTGTATCTTTAAGAAAATAATCACTATTTATTTAAAAAAAATAGTTTTCCCACTAGAGAAAATAATAGCATTTTAAAGTGCTTGATATTCTTTTCTCACTTTCCATCTTCCTTCAGCTCCTAGACAACAAAACAATGGTTCTTTCTTCATGTGGAACAGTAAACTCAATAAACACAAATGGCTAGGGGGCCTCACAGCAGTGAAATTATGGCTTTAGAAGGACTTTTTTTTTTCTGTGTGAAGAAACAAGTTTAAAAGGACCTTTTTCAACATACTTTACAGTCATACATATTTCAATGATATAATTAAATTGGCAACACTAAAACATTGCTGACTGATAAAGGAGACCAAAATAATTAGGTTTTGGTCTTTGTACAATCAAGATTTAGTGCAGCAATCAATCTGGACAAGAATTTGGAGTCTGGAGACTGCAGGAGATGAAGAAGCAACTAGCTAGAATTGGTCATGTGGGAAGGTGGTTAAATGAGTATACAGTTTATACATAGCTGTGGGTGCCTTCCATATCTTAATCTTCATTAGAATCTGGTTGATTCATTGCTCATGTGGTCCCATACTAAGTTGAACATGGTATGCAAGTAGACACACAAAGAACAGTTTAAAAGATAATCCTACGCATTCATTGAGCACTATTGATATTGAAAATACAAAATATAATAGGCTGAAAATATGTTTTTGTTCAAAGCCGAATAATAAGAGGCACAAATACTGCGATGAAAAGCATTAAAGATATCAACATTAAAGTGATAAAGGAGAGAGAAAGCACTGTGTACTTTCCATTTGTGTATCTGTGGAATTGTGAGTATGGTTTGGTTGCCTACTCAGGTTTCCATTTTTATTTCTCTTCTACCTAACTCCCTCTCCCCACCTTAGAATAGACCTCACAGCTTTCTGTTCTCTAAACAATACTCCTACTGCATGGCTTTTCCCTGTGGAATCAGACTGTGGTCAGAGAGAGGTTTTCATATTATTTCTCCTGGGGGCTGGAACTCCAGGCTTCAGCAGACTGATGCTCTTAGCAAGTCCATCAGGGAAGTCAAAGTAATATTTAACCAGGGCAGTAGAGTGTATTAGTAACTACTGGGGTTTACAACCATAATATAAAATGGAAATACAACCACATGTATACACACACACACACACACATGTGTGTGTGTGTGTGTGATTATATATATATATATATATATATATATATATAAAATCACAATTTTAAAATCTCTTATGTCAAATGCTTATTCTGATTGTTACCCATGCACCTTAGAAAAAGAAGGAATGTCCTCCTCAGGGAAATGCACCCTCCTTTATAGTGGACTAAGGAACCATGAACATATGATATCATTGTCATTTATGGAAAGGAGGGGCGGGGGGGAGGGCCCAAATAAGAGTGTCCTGATCCTCCAACGAAATGAGCAGCACTAGTTGTGTTCTGAGGTCGCCAACCAGGGACAACAGGCTGTCTTTGACTCCGCTGCACATTCCTGCCTCCATGAATGTTGGGTAGCATGTGGCTGGGGCGGGGAGCAGTGGATGTCTATGCTAGCGCTTGGCAGTTTGTAGAGTGGAAAGAGCACTTTGTTTTTAAAAACGGATTCTTCTCCAGCAACCATGCCAGTCGACCGGCTGAAGGCACAAATGGAATAAACACGCATTCCGAAAAAAGTGGGGGGTGGGGCTAAAAAACCCCCCAAAACAACTAAAACCCACACCCAGGAACCTTTAAGAGAAACAGGTGCTAACAAGAGAAAGCAACCAGTTGACAGTAACACTTAAAACTCGATCTTTGTTACCCTGAAGGCAATTTCAATGGGGGGGGGGGGGGAGGGGAATACCGCGCCCTGTTTCTGAGGGTTTGATTCCCTCGGCTGCTTCCGTGAATCAGAGTCAAATCTAAGTTTCACACTCAGGAGCGGTTTTCGCTGTTGACTACTATTGCCCTGCAAGCCCCGAGAAGTCCGTTTGCAAACTGGGTGAGCCCTCTCCTCCTGACGCTCTTGGCCATCACTCCTCCAAGTCGTCACTTTTATCAGCGGTGTCTGTGAGGCTCTGCCGGGCCCCCAAGAACAGTCACCGCGAACAATGAGCCAGACAAGGGACCCACCCATCGAAAGCCAGCCGCCGGCAGCGCGCCTGCCTGCTCCCGGGACGCTCGGGCTGCAGGGCTCTCGGTCCTTCCCCCTCCAGAACCCAGGAGAGCGAGAAGGTGGGTCGTTCTCTCCGCCCAGACCCCCAGGATTCCCCAGCCCGCCTCCCTCACCCACCAGTTAAAGATGTCGCGTCTAAAAAGAACACCCGAAGAGGGGGCGGCGTGGCGGTCCGGCCGGCTGCCCACCCCATCCCACCAGCCCGACTGGGGGGAGGGGGCGGCTGGCACTCACTTGCGCCCGAGTCCGCGGCGCCTAGCATCCCCCTAGGATTTGGGGTGGAGGCAAGAGGTGGGGCCAGGAGCCATAAAGTGGCTTCCGCTCGCTCCCCTCCCCTCCCCTCCCCACCCCACCCCACCCCGGCCTGACCAGGCTCTGGGTTCGGGCAAAGCACAAAAGACGGCGAGCATCGGTGCCAACAACTCCGCCGCCGACCCCGTGCGCAGCGCTGCGCCGGCGAGCGGGCGGCGGGGCCTCGGGCCGGTCCCCGCGCCGCCGGGACGCGGGGTGGCTGGGCGTCCCCGGACGCCGCCGAGGCTCCCGGGGCGCCCTTCGCGCCGCTCCGCCGCGGGAACTCCTCGCTCGGCGCACGCAGGGGCGGAGGCGCGGAGACGCGGGCAGCCAAGGCGAGACTTACTTGGGCACGAAGGTGGAGCCGGGCGCGGCAGGTGTCTGCGCCGCCGGCCCTGGCGGAAGGCGCCGGCGGCCGGCGCAGCTGCGAGCCGGGCTGCACTTGGCGAGGGCGGGGAACTCCCGGCCGCCGGCCCCGCGCCGCGCTCCTCGCCGTCACCGCCCCGAGCGCCGCAGGCACGCGCCTCCCTGCGCCTCCGTCCTGCCGGGGCCGGCGCCCTCCGCTCGCGGCTCCCGGCTCCCCCGCAGACCACACCCTGTCACCTCGGCGGCCCTCCACTCCTTCCTCTTTGACACTTCCACCGGGAACTCCGCGTCAGCGTCCTCCCACCCCCTCAGCCCACGTGCCTCTGCCGCTCCCTCCGCTCCGAACTTCCCCTGCCGAGCCCCCACCTCCGCTCGGAAACCCCAGGGTCGCGGGAAGCTGGGCGGGGACTGACCTGTAGGTCCTCGCGCACGTGCCCCCAGCCCCTGGAGCGCACGGAACTCATGATTGGGATTTTGTTATGCGATGGTTTAGGTATTGTATACTGTATAGGAGGATGCATTTTTTTTTCTGTGCCATTTATCACTTTTAATATTATCGACTGTATTCCAGGGTGTCAGTTAGTAATCATCCAGCAGCTCCTCACTGGCCTTTGGGGGCTGGACTGGCAGCCTAGCGTTCTCCATATGCAAAAGCCCAGCAAAATTCCTCTTTTGCCCAATTCAAACAGAAATGCCATTTTATACGGAGCCCCCTCCGGGTCTTTTTATTGTTGTTGTTGTCTTACAAATATTTTGATAATTCACTCTTCCCTGTGCCTGCAAAGTCAGAGGTCCCTTCAGCACTCTGAGGATATTTTCATGGTAATTTTTACCATCTATATGGTATTCTTTCTGCACATGACTGCCTGTATTTTAGCCCATAAGTTTCTCAGACACAACTCTGTCATACTAATAACTCTATCAGCAGCTCCTAGTATAGTCCCAGTACAAACTATATGCTCAAAAACCTGTTTGAGCAATGAATGCCCATTAAATATAATGCAAGCATTGCTGGTTTTATATCATATTTAAAGGAATGAAGCCTTCGATCTCATGCTCGACTGTATTCCCAACTAAGAGGTCATATAGAAAAAGAAAACTTTTTGCATTTGGCTGGGTGATTTCTCACACATTCCTTAACATAATTCTTAAAAGGCGTCTTCACAGGTATCACCCACTTTTTCTACCTTGGTGAATGAAGGTCAGCAGCTTAAGCCTCCTAAGTGTTGCTGCTGCGGCTCCATGCTTCAGACTAGCACTGGCCGGTGCTCTCATCCCACTGTGACTCTGCCCTGACTGTCCAACGCCACAGCTAAAGCTACCTACCACCTCCACAGAGAGCCTGCCCAGCCCGCTGTCCTCCAAAGAGCGAATTTTCCCCTTCTCTTGTCCAACTCTGTAACTCTGTGACCCCTCTTAAGTCAGAGTTAAAAAACAAACAAGCAAACAAAACCTCTTTAAGCTCAGACCTCTTGTAGCACTTACTGTCTTAACTTTTACACTTAAAAAAAAGCTTCCATATATTTTGCTTCAGCTATTCTTGCACCTTCTACAGGTTTTTTTTATTATTATTATTTCTTGTTCTCTCCAACGAAATAAACAGCAGCTAACATTTATTAAGTTAGAGACATCATCTAACAGCCAGCCATTGCTCCAAGCGCTTTAAACTTCTGTTAGCTCATCTAACCCTCATGAACCTTATGGACTGTTTCATAGATGAAAAACTAGGCACAGAGTTGTGGTCATCTAGTCACTAATTAGTGGAGCAGGGATTGGCTTCCTGACAGTCTGCCTCATAGGCTGCTTTCTAATCATCTTGCTACATGACCTGCTATAATCCCTCGCACCAAAGGGATGTTAACAAATATGTTTAATAATGAATATCTATTCATCTCAATTTAGCTTCATAGCAGGAAACAGAGTAAGTAATGAAATGGGCAGAACTTTAGGTTATTGAGGACGTCTGGGTGGCCAACATTACCAGAACTGCTTTCTTTGTGGGATCAAGAACCACCACCTGTGACCTGTATTTGAAATCTGAGGGGGACACAATCCAAGCTCATGACTGCAAGTGTGTATGTGAGATAACTAAGGCTTCAGGTTTGTATTCCAGGTCTTCCTTCACAGTCAGTGAAGGACATCCCCAGCTAAGTTGACTCCCGGCTAAGCTCACAAACAAGCCCATTTGTATTCCTCAGAGACACTACTTCGTGCAAGGTGTTACCTCAGTCCCTGTGGCAGGCTGAATAATGGTCCCCCCAAAACATCCATGTTCTTACCTCTGGAACTTCTAAGTGTTACCTTGTATGACAAAAATGTACTTGGCGATGTGATTAAATTAAGAATCTTGACATGGGGATATTGCCCTGGAATATCAAGGTGGGTCCTAAATGCAATCACATCCTATCTAATAAAAAGGGAATATGCTAATTGACTGTCCCACCCTCAAAGATGGTGGCACCCACAGCCAATAAGGAGGGAATATGCTAATTGACTGCAACACCTTCAAAGATAGCAGTGCGCACAGCCACAAGATGGCAGTGCCCAGTTCTTTCAGCCCCGCCCGGGCGGCAGGTGCGCGGGAAGGCCAGGCCTGCCCACTACGCGTGCCTGCCTCCAGAGACCTCCAGTCCCCTCAGCCCCCCAGCCGCCCAGGGCCAGCCCGAGGCGCAGACAAGCTTCGGATGGCAGCTGCCCAGCCTCCCAGGGCTGCCCAAGGCTCAGGTAACCAGGGCCAGCTGAGGCTTATGCTGCTGGCAGTGGCAGCAGCAGAGGTGTGATGGGGCATTGCCTTCCCCTGATCACCAGGGAAAGTGCTTTTAACTTCTGGCTTCAAGAATTGTATGAAAAATAAGTGTGTGTTATTTTAAGCCACCAAGTTTGTGGTGATTTATTATAAAAACCAATGAGCATGAATACAGTCCCCAAACCTGAAAGATGACTTTCTATAACTGGGGATGAAATAGAAGAAGGTGTTCCAGGGAATTGGTCAGTCCCTTCTTCTATGGCTGGCAGAACCAATCAGTTGGGGAGAAACAGTGGGAATTCAACCCCCAGCATAGTCCTATATAATAAAAGCGTAATATGCAAATTGATCAAAAGGTGAAACAACTGGCAGAATGACAGGTCGCTCTGACACGCACTGACCACCAGGGGGCAGATGCTCAACACAGGAGCTGGCCCCAGCCCTCAGACCCCAGGCCAGCCATGGCAGGTGCCAGCGGGGGTCCCTCTCCCCCCGCCCCCCGATTGCCCCACCGGTCACCCACAGATTGGCTCTGATCACTGGCCAAGCCTAGAGACTCTACCCATGCATGAATTTCATGCACCGGGTCTCTAGTATTATATAAAAGCCCTCCAATTTAGACTTTGTCATTATCTCCAAATAATAAATACATATAATACCACATACACTTATATGACTTAAAAAGAATTTGATATTTTAAATTTGTTTTCTACTATATTATCATATTTTTAAAGTGTGTGATAGTTTAATTTTAAAATAGTCTATAATTATTTATTGAATAGCAAAAATGTATTTTCATTGAGTTATATGCTAGTTTGTAAAATGAAAAAATATATAAAGTCTTCATAAACTTTGTAACCCTTTCTTGAAATTATCTTACATTTTGCAATATTGAACAAAAAAAGTAGCCCAGATTCTCTTAACCTCTGAAAGTTCCTAGTAGCTGAAATTAAGATTATTGTTATATGTACTAAATTTTTCTTTTCTTTCTTTTTCCATTTTTTCTTTCTCTCTCTCTCTCTCTCTCTCTCTCTCTCTCTCTCTCTCTCTCTCTCATTTTCGATTATAGCTACCAGATAAAAGACAGGACACTCAATTAAACTTGAATGACAGCTAAGCAACAGATAATTTTTTTTTAGCATGAGTCCATGTGTCATGCAATATTTGGGACAATAAATTGCCTCTATTTTGCAACCTGTTGTGAACCATGCAGTATTTGGGGTTTGGGAAAATACTTATACTAAAATGTATTCATTGTTTTTTCTGAAATTCAGATGTAACTGTGTACACTGTATTTTTATTCGCTCAATCTGACAATCCTATTTTTAAATCTTCCTTTACTTATGCATTTTCCCATTCTCCCTTCACTGGAACCTCTGTCCCTCCCCATCAGCTCTCATTGGGACCAATGAATTTATTTTCACTTTAAAGCAAGGCTGAAACAAGATTTAACACCTTGCTGCTGGCCCAGGGCTGATGTTTTGCTCCACAGAAAAGAAAAGAGAGATGATGTGACTCTCCTAAGACTTGGCCACAGCGTATAAATCTACTCTAGCAGTGGAGGATTTCCCAGTGGGTCACACAAAATGTTTAGCTTACTATTATTCATTATGTAAGTAGTAAATTGGAGTAAGATGAAGTCGTGTGTGTGTGTGTGTGTGTGTGTGTGTGTGTTTCTTTAGAACTGTTTCTCCATCATTCACAACCTGGATTTAGTGCAATAATTCTGGCCAACAGTAGGTAAATATCATTGGTTTCTTTGACATGATTTACCCTATGATTTCTGTCAGCTAGATATATATTGGGTGGTACCACGGGCTGGGACAGAAGGATGATAATCTGTGTGTTTTGTATTGGAAACATGAGAGGGACAAATAAGGAATGTCAAGTAAATCACTAATTTTTCTGAGACTTAATTTCTTGTTCTGTAGAAATAAAACCCCTGCCTGGCCAGTCTTGCTCAGTGGTAGATCATCGACCTGTGAACTGGGAGGTCACGGCTCTATTTCTGGTCAGGGTACATGCTAGGGTTGCAGGCTCTATCCCTAGTGTGGGGCATGCAGGAGGCAGCAGGTCAATGATTCTCTCTCATCATTGATGCTTCTATCTCTCCCTCTCCCTTCCTCTCTGAAATCAATAAAATATATTAAAAAAGGAAATAAAACCCCTGATTCTATACACTTTATATCTCTAAACTACTGTACCATTATTACATTTTTTATAACATCTCATGTTCTCCATTATGAATTATTTGGAGACATGAAAGTCAGGCAGTTCTGACTTTGAATCCCCAAGTCTTTGTCCTCTAGTTGATGAACTTGGCAAATGTTTAATCTCTCAGAAATTCAGGATTCTCTACCTAACACACAGGGATAACAATAATCCCCTCATAAAGTTGTTATGAAATTCAATGAGAAAATACGTGTAACGTTTCACTTAGTGCATCATACAATGTAATTAATCAATAAAGAGTAGTTATTTTTTTGGCCTTGCCTGACATG